CACACACACACACACACACACACACGGCCAGGTGCTCTCAGAGCAATAGGAGATTTTCATCCCCCTTCATCCGTCCCACCCTTTCCTGAGGGTTTCGTTCCCCCTCGAGCTGGGCTCTCTGTTCTCCATCACCCCCCCCACCTTTTCCTGAGGGTTTTGTTTCTCCTCTTTTGTTTCTCCTCTCTCTCTCTCTCTCTCTCTCTCTCTCTCTCTCTCTCCATGGCAACGACATGGAAAGCATGAATTCCCATCCAACCCCTCTCCTTCCCTGTACCGCGCACCGACTCCACCTGATGATCAGCTAGATGAGCAAAGGAACGGCGCTAAGTAGTTCAGAGAGGGAAGGACGTCCATCAACTCAGAACTTCGCAGCGCAGCTGGACGGCGCTGGTTCTGGAGAACCCCTCAGGAATCAGCACCACCACCTTCTCCCGAATACAACGCCCGGTCATTATAGATGTATTTTGGGCAACTTTCAGTCTAGATGCAGTGATAATTACCGTACCACCTTCTATTCAGATGAAGACGCTAGGCACTGCTCGGAGACTGGTGCTGACCCATCAGGAATCACCACTACAAAACTTTTAGGATCGCCCTTTCGCAGTTAATCGTTGGATTACTTAACAAATAAATTACTGTGACTTACAACCAAGCACCCTTGACCATCTGACGGTCAAGGAGAGAGAAGCTCGGCCTCTGTTTCTGTGCGCAAGGGTTGGCCCCATTTCTTAGGAAGGTAGTACTGGTTTAAGAGCTCACGCAGGATGAGTCTATAGGACCCATAGCTGTCAGATCGAGAGCTCTGAGGTATCCATTCCAAACTGGGCAAGGAGAAGAGAGAGAGAGAGAGGTTCTCCCTCAGGGTTACTGGGCTGTGTGATACAACCCGCTCTCTTTGGCTGCCAACCTGCCCAGCTGTTCCTCTGTAATGGAAGCAAAGTAGGGAAGAGTCCCACCTAACCTAGTCCGTATAAGGAGTCGGAGGGTTCAGGTAGAATATCTTTCTACTATCAATACTGCATCTACATAGTCCGCATAAGGAGTGGGAAGCTTCAGGTAGAAAATCTTCCTACCATCAAATACTGCAGCTGCACCTCTGTTTATACAACGCTATGCCTTGATCTTACAGTTCATCCGGGGTGTTATTGCACTGTGAGGAAGTCGCCGTTTCACCAAATCAAGGGTTTCACTCAAGTTTACTCATTTGCTGCTTCAGCCTCTATCCTTGCCGGTACCTTTACTCTGCTAGTTGAGAGTCCCTACCCCTCGCAGCCTCCTAAACCGCCGCGTGTGGTCGGTATCTGCTCTTTATTCTAGTCTGCTCTTGCCCGTAAACTCTCTCTCTCTCTCTCTCTCTCTCTCTCTCTCTCTCTCTCTCTCTCTCTCTCTCTCTCTCTCTCTCTCTCTCNTCTCTCTCTCTCTCTCTCTCTCTCTCTCTCTCTCTCTCTCACACACACACACACACATACACACACACACCTTCACATTCACCCGTAAGCGCGCGCGCACAGAACTGCTTCAGGTGTGGAGACTTTCTCTCTCTCTCCCTATTTCGGCCCCTACCGCTTTTCACCATCTGACAAAGTCACTGACAAGGTTGTTTGCCTCTGCGCCGCCTATATTACCACTACCTATTCTCTCCATCACACTATCGGACTTCCAAGTCGTGCATGCAGTGCGCGTCTGCACACACGCAAACTTTCCCCTTCGCGCGGCCAGCAAGAGGTAATCGCGATTTAATAGCGATTCCCGCCAAGAACAAAAACAGATGAAGATCCAAAGGAGGATCAGGGCACAGGAGCTAATAACTGCCATCGCATCCCAGGTTACGATCAACACCCTTAGATTTTCAGAGGCAGAAGCGGACACGTCAAGTGTAGAACGACAAGGTGGGGGCGAGAGAGCGATGAAGATCCGAAGGATAGAGACTCGATTACATTGCACAGGACAAATTAATCACACATTAGACTAGAGATTAATCACACGATTGCTAATCAACGGTTGTGATGCTACTCGCCTGTTTCCGCCAACGACGTCCGGTCGGAAGCTTTCGCATCCATGGCGGCCACAGCCGCTGCTTCTGTTTGCGCCTCCATAGCCGGCTCAATCGCAGCTGCTGCGGCAGGGGCGGGCAGCGATTGGGGCGGCGACGGCAGCCTTGCTGCCCCCATTGGGGGTGGCGAGGTCACCCTCATCGTGGAGCCGGGCGCGTCTTTCTCATCATCGGCCACGACTGCTTCGGGCAGCGTGGAAGAAACCTCAACCTGCCTAGCAGCAGGGGGTGTAGCGCCGTAGATATCTTGTTCCCTACGAGCTCCCTCTGCCGGCTGCCTGGGAGCAATTGCCGACGGCGCAAGCACTGTTGGCGGCGCTGGCGCCATCGCCGCAGCTGACCTCTGCGGCGGGGCTGAGCCCATAAGTCCTCTTCCTCGCCCTCCGCCACCTTGATGCGCGGGAAGAGACCCTCCCCCCTGATGTCGATTGGCCGCAGGAACATACATTTGCTGCTGCTGCTGCTGCCCTCGATGTGATGATTGCCGGTAATCCCCATGCGCATGCCCACCATATCCGCCATATCCACCATGCGCATGTCCTCCACCGTGTGCGCCGCCACCATACTGCATTGGAGGCGGAGTCATCATTCCGCCGCCGCTGCTGCCGTACTGCTGCGGGCGATGATGATAATAAACCCCCCCGGCGGCTCCACCCCCACCCCCCATGTAGTCTGGCACCCCTCTCATCCCCCCCTGTGGTCCTGGCCCATACAGTCCTTGCCCGCCGTAAACTTGCTGCGGACCAGGCCCATACGATGGCGGCGTGAAGGACGACGCGCCGGGATTGAACGAGAAAGAGGATGCGTTAGGATTCATCCGGGGCATAGCCGGCTTTGACGAAGCGCCCGCTCCATATCCGCCCGGAGGTGGCATCGATCCCTCGTCCATGTCCTCCCACGAGTCTAAATCCGCCATGGCTGATCTCTCACCTCCTACTCTCTCCGTCACCCTGATAACCTCCTCCTCCTCTTCCCCTCCACCGTGTAAGGATCACGCTGCGACGCACACTGGATGCAATCACACGGCTCGCCCCGCCAACGCGAAAACCCTTCCCGCCACCTCCAGATCTACTCCCCCCTTCCACCCCGCCAAAACCTCGATTGACAAACTACGAGCAAGTTCCCGTGCCGCTGCGTCGCGCAAAAATGTACCGCCCCGCCCTGCGCCAATTGCCCGCCACCGGCACCGAAGCTGAACAAAACTCCACGGCGATAAAACCAGGAAATCGACTCGCTTACCGCCGGCGGTCCTCAAGCTGGGTGTTGTCCTCGAGTTCGAGTCGGCAGTCGACTCTTGGGTGGGTGTGGGTGCAACGCAATTTCCTTTGACTTGATTGATTGACTTCGCAAGGCTCCCTTCCCTTTTGTTCGCAGCCAGGACGCTGCCCTTGCGTTTTGTTCAGAGCCAACCCGTCGTTCTTCGTTCGTACGGGCCCAGTGGTCTTTGGAAGGGTGTTAAAAATTACAGGTAGGGGCTTTTTTTTTTTTTTTTTTTTTTCTTTGGAAGGGTGTTAAGAATTACAGGTAGGGGCATTTTAGGGGGGCCTGGGTGTCGTTTTTTTCTTTCTTCCTTTCTTTCTAATTTGGACCATATCTCGATTTATGTGAGTCATCCTTGCGCTAGGGCCAAGTACTGCCCGCAACTTCCAGAGGGCTCAAAGGCTGGCGCCGCCAGCCAAAATTGTCTACCGCATGGGCGCGGAAAACGCAGCCCTAAGGTAGCCAAATCAATGAGACTAAGAGCTAACACAAGAGAGAGAGAGAGAGAGAGAGAGAGAGAGAGAGAGAGAGAGAGAGAGAGAGAGTTTTGT